TCTCTCTCTCTCTCTCTCTCTCTCTCTCTCTCTCTCTCTCTCTCTCTCTCTCTCTCTCTCTCTCTCTCTCTCTCTCTCTCTCTCTCGCCTTCTCTCTCTCCCTAGGGCCTTGACCTCCACCTTACTCTCCCCCCGTTCTTCCTTCTTGGTGACTAAACCCCCGCTCACTTGTTACATTGCCAGGGGACGAACGGTGAAAAAAAGCGGTCCTCACTTGGTGGAGAAAGAGGGCAAGGGAAGGGTAGTCGGTTCCTTGCGCCACCAAGAAGGAGAAAAGGAAAGCCCTTTGAGGATTTGGGAAGGCAAGGTCCTCGAGAAAAGTAAAGGAGAGAGAGTTTGGCACAAAGTCAGTTGACTCAACCATTTTCCCCGACTCCATGGCTAAGGGAAAGACATGGCTTGATTGTCGGGAAGGGAAGGGAAAGGTCCAAAGAACCAAGGGAGAGAAAGGAACTTAGGTTTGCGGGAAAGGCGATGTGTTGACCCCTTTGGGGGATTGGATTGGTTTTGCTTTGTGTGGGATTTTGCAGGTGAGTAGCTTAGGATGACTTGAGTTGACTGGGTCCAGAGTACGTGGGCGAAAGGGAAGGATGAGGATCGGACGGAAAGGCCATAGTCCTAGCGTAAACTCTGGCGCGGGTGGGCTCTGGTGTAGGATGCTTGAAAACAAAGGATCAAGAAAAAGAGAAGGGTGTGGCCTTGCAGGACGAATGTGTGTTTTGTCTTTCTGCATGCAATATGGAAGCCTGAAAGGACTAAGGGCGGGCGCCGGATATATGAATGAGATGTTTGTGTCAAGCAAAAAAAAGTAGGGGCTAGGGGATGGACGGCGTCGCCGCACCCCGAAGATGCCATAGGGATTGTTGTGCTTAGTGAAAAGGTGTGTGGCCCAAGGATGACGCTTGGCCTACGCACAAAACAAGATAAATTCTCAATAAACCCCTCCCTGGACTGCACGTGTATTGGAAGGAGCAATTGCCTGGCCACATCTAAATGAATCAAGAAAACGTCGCGAGTGACCGTAAAGCTATCATCTAGCGCGAGAGCGGAGCTACATCCCCCAAAGTCAAACCCTCTCGCAAATGGTCCGTCCCCATCCATCCCATAGTACTAGGTGGGGGTGCCCCTGTGACGAACGACCCGCGCCCTGAGCGTGAGCGTGGGCGGGTCGAGCCAAATGAGACCCGCAAAGGGGGTCGACTCAGGCTCGAAAGTCTATCAGGGTATGGCCCTACACCGGTGAGTGAAGAGAGTAAGGGTGAAGCGAAAATACTGCCCCAATTGGAGAACCTGATGAAAGAGTTTCATGATGTGAGAGAAACCCCAACCGGAGTGGTAGAGAGGGAGATCAAGCACTAGATTGAGATAGAGCCCGGTAGCAAGATTCCCAGGGGCCCAGTTTATAGAATGTTCCCCAAGGAACTTGATGAGTTGCCCAGACAGCTAGATAAGCTAATTGAGAAGGGGTGGATTAAGCCCAGTTCGTCGCCATATGGTGCACCAGTTCTGTTCGTGCCGAAGAAAGAGGGTGAATTGCGGTTGTGCATTGATTACCGGGGGTTGAATGCTATCACAGTCAAGAATGTTGAACCGTTGTCCCGGATTGACGATCTGTTAGACAGAGTGCAGGGATGTAAGTATTTCTCCAAGATTGATGTGAAGTCTGGGTACCATCAGATTGAGGTACCGCCGGAAGACCAACACAAAACGACATTTAGGACTCGTTATGGACACTACAAGTTTGTAGTTATGCCGTTCAGATTGACTAATGCCCCTGCAACATTCCAAAGATGCATGAATGATTTGTTTAGAGATTGGTTAGATAAATTTGTTGTTGTTTATTTAGACGATATTTTGATTTTTAGTAAGAGTCTAGAGGAGCATCAGAATCCTCTTTGTTAGATCTTGATTAAGTTTCGTGAGTCTAACTTCAAGATCAACCCGAAGAAGTATGAGTGGGCTAAGCGTCAAGTCCTCTACTTGGGACACGTGGTAGATGGAGACGGAGTGAGACCTGAGGATGCGAAGATAGCAGCGATTCGTGACTGGCCAACCCCGCACACATTGACTGAGTTACGATCGTTCTTAGGACTGGCCAACTACTACCGGAAGTTCATGCGTAATTTCACTTTCATTGTTGCTCCTTTGCGCAGGCTGCTGCGGAAGGAAACCATTTGGAATTGGGACAAGGACTGTACATCAGCCTTCAAGAAGTTGAAGAAGTCCCTCATCGAGTACCCGGTCCTTAAAGTAGCTGATCCATCCTTACCGTTTGTGGTTACTACCGATGCTAGTATGGCATTGGCGCCGTTCTCCAACAGGATGATGGAAATGGATACCGGCCCGTTGAATTTATGTGTTGCAGGCTCCCCAGTGAGAAGGTAGCAGCCTCAACTTATGAGCGGGAGCTCTTTGCCCTTTGACAAGCTCTAGACCACTGGCGGCATTATATGTTAGGGCGACACTTCAAGGTATATTTAGACCATGGGACGCTGCGTAAGTTGAAGACCCAGGCCCGAATGACTCCCAAGTTGACTAGGTGGGCTGGTGAGATTGATTAAAACCAGTCAAGGGTAAGTAGAACATCGTTGCTGATGCATTGAGCGGACGTGCAAATTTTTTCGGTGCAATAGTAACTTACTTGGATGCTGGTGTGGATCGGCAGCAAAAGATCAAGGCTGCATACGCTGATGACCCCGTGTATAGTACGCGCATAGAGAAGGTGCATACCAGACCTCAAGAAGTCCCAGACTTCAGAATGGCCGATGGATTGCTATTTGAAAAAATTGATGTGCATGATAGGCTTTGCATTCCGCGTAATGAAGAGGTGCACAGTTTGATCCTAGGGGAATGTCACGATACTGAAGGCCACTTTGGTTGGCGGAAGACCTATGCGACCCTACTTAGGTCCTACACATGGCCCGACATGAAGCATGATTGCATCACTTATGTCCAATGCTGCCAAGTGTGTCAGAGGAAGAAGAATTCCTTGCAACCTCCCCTCGGACTGTTGAAACCCTTGCCTATCCCATCCGGCGCCGGTGAATCTATATCTATCGATTTCATGGACACTAAGGTCAAGAGTAATAGTGGAAAAAGTCAGGTCATGGTTATAGTTGACAGGCTTAGTAAGTTTGTTGTTTTTGTACCATTACCTGCTGCAGCAAAGACAAATCTGGTCATCAAAGAGTTCTTTAACCATTGGGTGAAGGATTACGGTCACCCGTTGAGTATCGTTAGTGACCGAGACACCCGGTTCACAGGGGAACAGTGACAACACTTAATGAAGGTCTACGGATCTAAGTTAGCTATGTTCTCTGGGCGCCACCCTGAGACAAATGGCCACACCGAGCAGATGAACAAGATTCTACAGCAAGTACTGCGTATGTATATAAGACCAGACTAGGTAGATTGGGATGAGCATCTTCCCAAGGTAGCTAGTGTGTATAACAACTCGGTTCACCTAACTACCTTGCAGACCCCGAATGAGCTGCATAGAGGGTGGAGTCCTCGACATCCCATAGGCTGTTTGAACCCGGATCAGATCCAAAGACTGCCACCTGGTACACGTGAGTTTGCCATCCAGTATGAGAAGGATTTGCAGCGTTTGGCTGAGAACATCCGGAAGGCCCAACATCAAATGATGGAATAAGCGAACAAACACGTTATCCTTCACAGTTTGCAGTAGGTGATCTTGTCTGGGTCAAGTCTAAAAAGTTTATTCCCGAGGAAGGGATTTCCCAGAAACTGCTACCTGCCTACAGAGGGTTGTGGCAAGTGCGAGATGTCAAAGGTGACGAAGATGGACCGTCATACACCATCGAGATTCCACCCCATCTGCACACCTATCCTGTTTTTCATGCTTCAAAGCTCCTTCCCTGTGTAACTAATGATGCATTTCCCTCACGCAGATCTATGATTCCACCTGATATGGACGGAGGATATGATGTAGAGAAAATTGTAGCTGAGGATACCTTCCGTACAGGTCGTAGAGGGAGACCGCAGAAACAGTACAAAGTTAGATTTGCTTATCAGGAACCCGGCGAAGACCGCTGGCTCACCAGGGATGAGTTAGTTCAAACAGCCCCTCATATTGTGTCATACTATGAGCGAGCATGGAGAGGAATGAACATTTTTTTTCTTTTTTTTTTTTGGGACAATTGCTCCAGTCTATTCGTGGGGAGCAGCACGTGCTGGGAACCGGGCCCAACGTCCCATCAGAATCTTACAACATATGAGTTACCGGGGCCATTACCCAGCTTCGGCTAAGAACTCATGTACTAGAAAGTCTCAGAAAAATTCAAGCATAAATTATGACTATAGAAAAAGAACTCAAGCCTTTTATCCATAGGACCCTTCAGCCCGGAACCAATCAAGTCTCTTGGGTTAGGCGTGAAGCGCACGGAAAAGTATACCGAAGAAGGATACACCCGAGACTCATTCTCCATCGAGCCCCTATCAAGGAGCTTGTAGAACGACTTAAGAAGTATGGATTTGTAAGACGCACTTACAAAGGCTATATCCTTCCTATGCCAATAAGAATTAAGATCCTTATGGACCATGCAGATATACTTGCATTTTACAATGCAAAAACCCATAACATCTTCAACTACTACTCCTTTGTGGCTCCCCTGGTGGGCCTGAGTCGTATTATACACAACACGAGACCTTCATCAGCCTCCCATATCCTCAATACCCAGTCTCTACCAGACCTTACACCCCCAACTGCTAGGTTACAGAGTGGCGCGGCCCACTCCAGAACAATCACCCACCTGCTGGGCTACAGGGTGAAGCGACCCACCCCAGCTCCGGCAATGTCGTCTGAGTACTAGCTTGCCAGCAGATAGTAGATTGCCTGATCTCTCTACCAGGCCTCTTGCCCCCGTATAGCTCGAGTCGCATGGCAGCACGACCAAACTTCAGCGCCGACCATCGTCGTTCTAGGCCCCGTCCGTTCGCAAACCTCTAGGACCGTGGGCATCAGCAGGCAACAGTCGAGCCACCAATCATCACCACAACAGTAGTTTCGATGCCTCCCTCTCCTTGCAACAATCCATTTATCCCTCTCGACCCTCCTCCATTTACCATGATAGAGTCACCATCTCCACCACTGCTATGCCCTAGCTCTATCCTGCTGGCTAGCCCCGTTCGCAACAGGACGCGTTTCACCCAATCATGCACCCACCCAATCCCTGCAACCAGCGGCCAACTTCTAAGAGATTCAAAGACAGTCAGAGAAATTTTACTCAGCGCAAACAGCAGAGGGATCCCTTTCTAGCCCCACGAAAAGAGAGGAAGGGAGGGAAAACTAACCTCTCGTCCTGTGAAGGTTCCGGCGTCTGTTCGAAGCTCAACTATATGTGGAGAACTCACAAAGAAAGTTTCGGAGATTACTCCTCCCCTCAAAAACGCCCCTCTGTCCTTACACTGCCTCCGCCGGGAGGTGCCCCCTCACCTCACCGGCCCCAGTTCAGAACAGCCCCCTAAACGGCCACTCCTGCTCCCTCAGCAGCGTACAATTACCCCTAGAGTATTTCCCCGCAGAGCTGGAGTTCCTCCTTTCCTCCTGTCCCACCCCCTCCCAGTGAAACAGCCCTCTCTATCTATCATCTTGCTAAAATCAGCGCCCCTTGTCCACTCTCCCCAACCGTCGTGCTGATCCTACCAAAAAATCAGCATGGCCCA